TTGACTTGTAAGGAATGCATGTAACGAATAATAAAAGTCTGAATAATGCAGAGGTACAATATTACCAGTAAAATAAATGCTAAATTTTAATTATAACACAAATCTTCTAAAACAAAATACAAATCATCTATTGTTACTATAATCGATAGAAATATATATGATGAAAATGGTTAAAAATGGAATCCAAAGTATCTTTTAATACTTTGACATTTGGATAAATTTAATTAAAGTGAATGACAAGGGAATAAAGAACTAACAATCAATATACAAACAAGTGAATAAATATGTTTGCATAATATAATTCTTAGCCATGTTTTCTTCACACCCACTTGTAAATCTCAAAGAAAATTATCACTCCTTTCTTAATAATAATTTTCTTTGCTGCGATAATTAGAATTGTTTCCCAATTCATCTATTTATCTTGCCTGGTAAGCAGGACAGCTTTCTCTTTTCCAGCACTATTGCAGAAGTCTTACCAGCCTTTCAACATCTAAGAGCAAGAATCAATCATTTTGGTCTCTGGAAAACTTAAGTATGAGATGAAAGATGGGTTTCAATGTAGAATTGCAGCCAGGTATCAGCACTGTTTTCAGATGCACATCAAGTTTAAAGATCATAGTAGAAAAAAAGCAAACCAGAAAAACTTTCTGTCAAAAACTTGAGAAGCCTGAATAGATGGGACATTCAGTTTAAAAATTCTTTGTACCAAAATCTTCCAAAGATCACAAAGGGCAGTCAGAAATGTAAATTAAAACTATCAGCCAAGGTGTCTGTAGAGATCTTCTAGAGCAGCAGTCCCCAACCTTTTCGACTTTGCAGACCACCAGCAGCAGCAGGGGGACGGGGGGGGGGAGAGGGAATGATTCTGTGCAAGCAACAATTGAGCATGCTCAAGGCGAGCAGCTCCATTTGCGTGGTCCAGAGACTGGGGACCCCTGATCTAGAGGCTTCTCCTGCATGATGTAAGATGAGGACCTAATTTCTTATGCTGTTTGTTCTTTTAAAGGAAACAACCTCACACCATATAAATATTATTATTAGCAAGCATTTTTCAGTGTAAAAAGTTTAATAAAATTTAATAGGCAGAACAAAATCGAGAAAGAAAATAACATTTTCCTTCAACAATTTGACCTAGACAAAATGATATCCAATAAAATATGTTTATTTTACCACCAGGTGTGAAAAAATAATCCATTACTTTATAGCATCTACTCTAAATTCTTTATGCATGTGATTAATCAGTCAGAAATAATTAAAGCGGAACAGTATTTTGGAAAAGATCTAAGACAATTTTAAAGGCAGAAATACAATGCCTCTAGTTCAACAAGTTAAACTCATATAATTTTCATATAAATTTCTACAATGCATCTCCCTGGCTTGTTATAGTAAATGATTCACCAAAACGAAACACTATTTTTTTTCAAGTATTCTTTTTGAGTTTTCATTATTAATCAGAACTGTATGCAGTATGCCTTTAGTCAATTCTGGTTGCTTTAAGTGTTTTGTAACACTCAGTAAAGCTTCAGTTTCAAATAATTGCATAAGATCCATGCAAATAATGGTAGAATATACACTCCTTGAACTAAATTAGTAATTTAAATCCCTGCCAATATTAACAAACCAGGATTACTATGACTTTTTTCCATTTGGAATACACACATTCATTCATTCATCATCTTTCTAAACTGATGCCTCTATTTCCCAACTGTTAAAATACTTTTAAGCAAGTCACCCTAATATTTAAGTCAAGCCATTTCCCACTGCTGATTTTTGCTGACTCAGATTACATTTTCCACTTCAACACATTTTGTTCTATTAATATAATAATTTTTAATTTCCAGAGGTCACTATAGATTTTCTCCATAGTAAGAATAACTGCAGATTCCATTCATACTCTCTCTGTAATGTTCAAGACAAGGACATTCATTTTGATAATTTTCAATATTACAAAACTGCTATTAAAATACTACTTGTATGGATACTACTTTCCTCAGGTATTTGCAAAGCTTCCTCAGACAGCCATTTTGCTTTCTTGCATTTCTTTTTCTTTGGGATGGTTTTAGTTTCTACCTCTTGTACAATGTTGCAAACCTCCATCCATAGTTCTTCAGGCACTCTGTCTATCAGATCTAATTCCTTAAATCTATTTGTCACCTCTACTGTATATTCATCAGGAATATGATTTAGTTCATACCTGAGTGGCCTAGTGCTTTTCCCTACTTTCTTCAATTTAAGCCTAAATTTTGCAAAGAGAAGCTCATGATCTAAGCTACAATCAGCTCCTAATCATTGCTATCATGTTATATTTATTTTGCATGCACAATGATTAAGATTTCACACAAATCTTAATATTCAGTTTTGCATTTCACAATATATATTATTAGTGATTATCAGCTAAATACATAAATCATGTTCCAATTTAATATCTTTATTAATAGTACAAAATAGAATAAAATAAAATAGCATTTATTATAGCTCAACATGTTTTAGCCCAAAAGGAAATTCATCAGAAACAAAACAAAGTATTAAACAGTTTTTAAATACTATACCACAACACTCGCCCATTTAGAAATTTAAATTTTTCTGTATTTAAATATGTATTTAAGTATATTTATTTACTTAGAGCTATATTTTTATAATGTTTTTCATTAAAAAAAGAAAAAAAAATCTGCTGCGGACACCATAAAGGTATCAGGAAGAGCATCCAGCAAGTAAACGCTCAACTCCATCCAGTCACCCCAAGTGTATCTTGAATTAAGGGACTACAGGGTCATAAAAAGAAAATTTTATGTCTTTCGTGAGCAAAATATTTTCAGGTTATTTTACATTATAAAAACTAAACAATCATAATTTTAATACAAAATTCACAATTATTCACCTTAAAACTGGCATTTAAATAACATCACTGATTAGAATGATTTTCAAACATAGAAATGGTATTAATTAAAATAGACATAAACAATTGTGTTTTTACAGTCTATTTAAAAACAAGTTAATATGGCTATCAAAGGAATCTGTCTGTCAGAATGCTGTAATGAAGAATTCAAACACATTAGAGTTGTAATTGGTAATGTCTTAAATGAGCTAACATTTATAGAACAGTATTATGCCATATGAAAAAATAAACTAGAGTAGCATAAATTGCCTGTGAATCAGTTATTTAAACAATTATCATAATCTACTGATTATGTTTACTTGAATGGAAAATTGGAATGCACATCTTGATTGTGTATCAGTATATTTCATGTACCTTCAAGCTAAAGAGATCTAGATTAAAAAACCTAGCTGTAGATCAGTGGTTCTCAACCTGTGGGTCGGGACCCCATTTGGGGTCGAACGACCATTTCACGGGGGTCGCCAAACAAGGCTGTTCCCCTTTTTCTTTGGCCACGCCCCGGCACCTGGTGATGTATAAGTGGTTGGGGGTCACCACAACATGGGGAACTGTATTATGGGGTCGCAGCATTAGAAAGGCTGAGAACCACTGCTGTAGATAATAGCATAATAATGTTTGGGATAAAATCAGATTTGGTTGTGCTTTGGCATACTAGCCAAAATCTGCCAATGTAAGAGTGTACTACCCCACATTAAGCACATTTAAATAACACTGGAATCTGATCTGGTCTTAAATTCTGGAGTTCTTAGCAAAGTGTATTCTGTAAGTTAGCCATATATCCAATTTTACTAAGGACAAATTAAAGGGTTATCAAAAGTCACTTTACTCATCATCTATCTGAAAGGTTATCCAATCCAAATCTGTTACAAGGTAAACAATCTTTAGGAAGTATGGAAATTTCCCATTAACATTCTATATGGTACTATCACAGCTTTTTCACTATGGCAAGACATGATAATTTAACTTTAAAATGCAGCAATTATTTTTCTGATTATATATGTGGACTTTTGTTTTCCTTTTTATTGATGATACAGAAGTAGCTACCTAAAACTTTTAGTGGGCTGCCTCTAGTCAATAATCCTCATTTAGGTAGCCCTGAACACTTATTTGTTAACTGCAGTATGGGTTGTAATATGATGGATGTAGATCAACACACATTTTTGATTAAATTTCTCACAAAAGCCCTGACTTGTATCATTCAAAATACATTTGACTGGGTACATGTCATTCTGATTTAAATAATATTTATTTATTTAATGAATGTGTATCCCATCTTTTTTATTTTTACAAAAAAACTCAAGGCAGTGAGCATATCCAACATATCTTCTTCCTCCTGTTTTTCCCACAACATATACCTAAGGCTGAGAGTGACCCATGAGGCTTTTTTTTTTTTTTTTTTTTTTGGTCTCCTGCCAGTCCCTTCTGATCTTCATAAACCCTTCCATTCTCCGTCTCTTGGCTATTTTTTGTCTGCTAAGAGGCACAGAGCATAAAGATACAGGGAAGAAAGAAAAAAAGATCTGGGAGTCCTATCACTTAGATAAGTTTCTTTACTTCCACTTTCTTTCCAAGGTACTGGGCCTGCTGCTTACAAGGAAAAAAGTTTAAGCTTATTGGAAATCAACAGAAAATAATTGGATTGATCAAAATGACTTATAATGTACAACTATGTTTATAGAAAAACAAAAACAAAAAGATCTTCTGTTGATATTTCAAAGTAACTACCAAGTATCTATGTCATCCATTTCATTCTCATTTACTAGTAAAAATTAGAATTGCATGCTAGACAAATTGCAGCTATGCTCTTTACTGTCATATATCATTTGATTTGTACCTTAATGTCTAAGATCTATTTCAGTAACTTTAGTAACTTCCTATCTATGAAGTTGTCCAAAAGTAACTGTGCCTTAAAAACACAACCATGTTTCTCATTGTATGGATCCTGAAATGTATCTGTCATTCTATATACATTATATAGAAAAGAGCTATAGACCACCACTATTTTGTGTACAGATACTTTTTCACTTACAACTACTTATTTAGCAACTGTTCAAAGTTACAGTGGCCCTGAAAAATGGAACTTACAATCAGTCCTTGCACTTACAACTGCCGTAGAATCTCCACAATCACATGGATCAAAATTCAGGTGCTTGGCATGTATTTACAATGGTTACAGCATCCCAGGGTCATGTCATCACCATTTGCAATCTTCCCAACCGGCTTCTGATAAGAAAGTCAATATGGGAAGCCAGGGTTGCTTAATGATCATAGGATTCACTTAACAACTGCAGTGATTTACTTAGCAAAAACAAAAAAGGTTGTAAAATTGGGGAAAACCCACTTAATAACCACATTACATAGCAACGGAAATCCTGGTTCCACTAGATCATAATTTGAGGACTTATTTATTAAAACCCATCTCATACATATCAAAGTAGGGTTGCCATGCTTTATTAATACTGTACATTAAACTATTGCATACCTAATAAATATTCTGATACTTCAATGTCTTCTATAAAGATAGAGATAAACAACCAGTTAATAATATCAGTTCAAATATATTGAAAAGAAATTGAATTCAATGGGGTATACAAGTGTAGACACTGAGAAATAGCAGAAGGGCTAAAAAGAACCACTGCCAGTCAACATAGGTAATACTGATCTACACACTATTGGTTTAATTTGAAATAATGCAGTTTCCCTTACTGTCTTATATAGAACCATTATCATTAACCCCATTAGCTGCTTAGAACTAATAATCTGTCTATAGCAGCGGTTCTCAACCTGTGGGTCGGGACCCCATTTGGGGTCAAATGACCATTTCATGGGGGTCGCCAAACAACACAATCTGCCATTTTTTCCCTCTTTTCCTTAGCTGTGCTACTCCCTTTTATTTTATTGGTTTCTGAAAGCCAATAGAACAGACTCTCTTGAATAGAGTCTAATTCTATTGGCTTTCAAAAGCCAATAGGAATTCTCCAGGCTGTCTCTGCCCTGCTGAGCCCACCAAAAGTCCCATTCTGCAAACGGTGCTGCAAGTTGTCTGGAAGTTTCCACTCCTCCCTGCTGAGCAACTACTAAAAATGTAAGTAAAAGAGGGCCAAGGGTGGGAGGTGGGAGCTGGCGGGCGCAGGGAGGGTTGCTGGCGCACGTGGGGCCCGGCAGGTGCCTTACCTCTCTTGGGCTGGGCCAGCTGGTGGCCCAGCCAGTGGTCAGCCTGCGCCATCTCTGCCGCTTGCCAGCTACGCCTCGGCCGGCGCAGGGGGCGGCACCACGCATGCGCGGTGCTCCCGGGCAGGGAAAGTCCTCGACTTAGGACCGGTTGGGTAGTCCTCGACTTACAACCGGTTGGGTAGTCCTCAACTTATGACCGGTTGGGGGTCGCGGCATTAAAAAGGTTGAGAACCACTGGTCTATAGTAACTGCTCAGAAGAAACAGTTACTAATATTATGCAAATGGGAAATGCCTAATATTTTCCTTCAAACATGTGTGTGTTATTTAAAGGTCCCTAAGGGCCATTAAATGTTCTTCCAGATCTAGCTCTTTATATATGTTCATTGCCAGGTCTTAAAGGAAAAAAAATGAAACTACAGGTTCATAATCTCTGCTTTTATGAGATCTAATGGCTTTATGTCATCCCCATACTCAAGCAAAATATTTGATGTTTTGCATCTAAGAAGAGTAGTAGGTCAGTCTTTTTGTAAATTAAATCTAGCAGCTAAAAATACTATCAATTATATGATTCACTTTCCCTGAAGAGAAAGGAGATGCATCTATTCATGTGGAACTGATAGAGTTATCTGCCTTATTGAATGCAGAGGAAAATGCATATAATTTCGGAAATGTGGGATTTTTCTATATTGTTCCTTAACACTGTAAATAACATCCTCTGTTCTTTATGCCATAGCCCATAGAACACTTTACTTTTGATGTATGATTTAACATATTCTTGTAAACAATAAAACAAATGAAAACATATATGGATGTTTGGTTCTCACCCTGCTTAGGTAAACTATTGAAAACCTGATTATTCCACCAAATGAGGGTGGTAGTAGTGGTGATGATAGCGGGTGTTATGGTTTTTGTTATGTTTATCTTGTCTGCAGACTAGCCTGGTGAATTATTTTCCAGTCCTCGGGAGTCCTTTTTTACTTGTATCTCAGTAGATTGTTGGGTTTTTTATAAGCAGTTCAGAGTTGTCAAGAAATAGGGCAACCTCTAAATTTGGAAATAATGTAACAAAATAAACAAAAATCAAATATATAAATTGGATTCCTCCCTCAAGATGGCTGTTGCCTGGTAGGGAATTTTTTGTCCCCCCTGCCAATGATCTGCTATTTTTATTGCCAAAGTTGGTTCTCTGGCAGTGTTGCTCCCTGGATTTGAATGGGGGCACCTAGGAATGACCCAAAACAACTTTTGGATGGCTATGGACCCACCAGGGAGGGGGAACCTTGAAGACTGCAGTTCCCTATGGGAGCAGCCAGAAAGTCATTAATCTTTTTTCCACCTCTTCCTATCAGCAGAATATTCTCCAAGACTGGGCTTTAACTTCATTTTTTAAAGTTTTGTTTTGTTTTTCATCTTTAAATGTTAATTGGCTGGCTGAATTTATTTTTAACCCCCTGCTGGGAGTTATCTGCTTTTTTCTGCTTTTTTTCTTTAATCTATTCAGCTGTTCTCATTAACTTCTGCTTTTCTATATGGAAACACGGCAGGTGCCTTTGAATGGTGAAAGTGCTTCTACTTGATTTATATTTTATTGGACATTTATTACAGGAATTTGTATTTTATTAATTTGTCAAAAGTTTTTGGATTGAACTATCCAGAAAATAGCTTCCTTGTTCTTTCGTCTTTTCCCTGTTCTGCTTATCCACTACACTGAGGAACTACACTATGTATTGGATTACATAGGGAAGGAGGCTGACACTCGGGAAAAACATGGCAACATGCAATCTTTAGCTGAAAGTTTTTCTAAAAAGTTTGATGAACTCATAAAAATCATGGAAAACAGTCAGAGAAACTGACTGTAAATAAATAAAAGCACAAAAGGAATGTGATTTTATAGTAGATTTCTTGGAAAGAAATATGGACTCAGAAATTAACAGAGTTTATAGAAAACATTCAGAGGCAAAAGGACTGTGATTTCAAAGCAACAGATTGGCTGGGAAGAAAAATGGACTCAGAAATAATAGAGTCAACTTCATATACCTTCCTCAAGTCCAAGACTGCACTTGTATACAACAGAAAACCATCTGGCTGGATAAGTGGTAAATTGGTCTTTTTTAAGTGGATTGAAGGAGATTAGGGAATGAATCTATCACATTTAACGGTGGAACAATTTCATCTGGATTTTTTGGGGTAGACTGGCTTTGGAGATTTGACCTATTGTATTCAACCAAATTACAATTGATAAAAGACAGTAAGAAGAAACAAGAAACAAACATGGATATTTGATTTAGAATCAATCAGGCTCAATTTTTGGGAAGATTTGAGATAGTTAAGAAGCCATAATAAATTTTCCATGAGTTGATTACAATAACAGTTTGTTAACACAAGGTTTTGGAATTTTATTCTTGTTTTTTATTATTGCTGTCCTTTCTATTAATCATTTTGTTATTAATATAGTATATAGATGACAGTTGACAATTTATAAATAGATTTAGTAGATTAATAATTTAAAGTTCCTTGGGTCTGTTTTGCAATAGATGGGAAACTAATATTTCTGTAATATATTAATCAGCATTCAACTAGGGAGGACAATATGTGTATATGTGTTAGTCCCTTTTAAATGTACCTTTTTCTTTTTATGTCTTGTTTGTTGTGTTTTTCTTTTTAAAAAAAATATTTTGGTGTTTTGTATTTTAACTTTTTTGAATAAATTAAAAAATAGTTTTCAAAAAAAACAATCAAATATATAAATATAGAAGGGGCAGATGTCTTGACATTAACACTTATGAAAAAATATCTAGGAATAGTAGTTGATTATAAACAGAGTATTAATCAACAGTGTCATGTGATGGGGGAAAGCAAATGTGACTTTATACTAACCATATCATCCAAAATATCACCTCTTAATCAAAGGAAAAAATAATTCTATTATATTTTATATTGGTCTGACCCTACCTTCAATATTATGATTGGATATGAGTGATTCAAACAAACTGAAAGAGATTCAGAAACAGCGGACATAGGGTTAGAAAACTAGAAATTAATTCCTCCAAAGAAATATTGAAATGAAGGAATATTGAGCCTTTATCCTCAAGAAGAAAATGTTGAGGGGGGAATATGATTCCACTCTTCAAATACCGGTAAGGATCTCACACAGATCACGATCTCTTCTATCATCCCACAGTACTGGATACAGAATAATGGATTTAAATTTTAAAGCAGCATAATAGGATATATTGTGTATAGTATTTCAGTCATAGAGCTAATTACCAAGGGAGGTGGTGGAGTTTCGTTCTCTGGATATGTTCATAGGAAATCTGGACACTCATTTATCACTCTATCATGCTAAGATTAAATGTATTGAATTGAATGAATCATTCAATTTTTTTATTACAGGCAGTACTCTTTTAGCAACTGCCTCATTCAACAATTGTTTGCAGTTATAACAATGATGAAAAAGTAATTTGCAACCAGTCCTTGCATTTACAAACTTTTCAGGTCTGTAAAGCAAAGGAAAGCTGAAGCAAGATCATAAGCATAGTCATGGTTTGACTTAGCAATATGACTGACTTGTAGATCCCAAATGTTGTTGTCAAAAGAGGACTACCAGCAATATGTACAAGTTGAGGCCTCAAAATAAAATATTGCTTATGTAGGCAGTTGTCAAAACCTTCTAGTCTTTATTTTCTGATGTAAGAAAATTCTCTAAGATAGGAAGCATTGCTACCTTATTTATATTTTCAAGTGCCCTTTGGCTTCTTCCTTGTAAAAATCTTGACTTTGAACTGAAAATTCAAAATGAGTTGATCCATGAATTTAAATTTATTCCTTATACTTAAATATCATTTGCTAGTTGTTTCACAACTTCCATATGTTCTATCTTAACACGCCTACATGACTTAACATGTCTACATCTGTACAGTCTGAAATCTCTTCTTTTTAAATAATGCTTGTAAATCAGGACTACTTTATCTTTGGTGTGTTATCTCTCTTTATAACAGACATGTCAAACTCACAACGTCATGTGACATCGTACAATGTATCAGGCCGGCAGTGGGCGCAGCTTCAGTATGATGAAACCGGCCCGCAGGCTGGCATTTTCAGCAGAAAGGAAATTTTTATTTGCCTTCATGTATAAGTAATCAGTAACAAGCAAAACATATTTTCTCAATTTATCTTCATTAATTCACTATATATTCATTTGTAAGAAACTGATCTTTTCAGACATAGATTTGCCAATATACCTAGAACTTAATGAAGTAATCCTTCTATCAGCAACTAACTTTTTCTTTGAGAAGTAAAGTGAATAATTGAAGGTTAACACAAAGGTTAACACAAAGTAACACATTCAAGTGACAGATATAAGGAAGGCTCTTGTCATGAAATTCTACTTTCTATTTTATTCATGTATTATTATTTTGGGTATTATAGCCAGCCAAAATCATTTATAGAATATGGACATGAATATTTTAGAAAGTCAATCCATGCTTTAGCCGATCAAATAGCCTAATTAGTTTTTAACATATAATATGTGTTATAGCTTATCTGTATTTGCATCTGTTTATGATATTTTGGTTGGCATCAAGGCTCATTATCATTTACAGAAGATTTATCTAATTTTAGTTGGATTTATACAATTATGCCATTTAATTTGTTGTTTTATTATATTTTATCAAATTACTCTGTTAATATATTTTGTGAATTTATTTTATTACCCTTCATTTTGGAATTATTTTGAATGAAACTGGCAGTTTTATAAATAATATGTTATAAAGCAGGGGTGTCAAACTGCCTCCAAAATCCCTTCCAACTCTGTTATTCTATTCTATTCTATTCTATTCTATTCTATTCTATTCTATTCTATTCTATTCTATTCTATTCTATTCTACTCTACTCTATTCTATTCTATTCTAATTAGTATTAGATATGAGGAATCATTTTAATACTCTTTACTGTAAGGGAAACGTGCATTGATACATATCCAGGAATTTGGATACCGATAGACAAAATGTTCAGAGAAAAGCCATTAAACATCATAAATCTGGTCTCCCTGAGTCATGGAAAAGCCATGTTGAACCTTTTTTTTAATTTCAACAGAAAAGTCTTGGAGGTCTTGAAACTACCACTTTGTTTCAGAAAATAGTCAGATGTTGCTGGGTTGAAGCAGTTCACCATGGAGGAAAGTATCAGGAAGAATTGCAGCAACAAAAAGTGATTTTACTATATGTTCTATGAACATAATTTAATAAATAAATGAAATGAGCAACAAGTTTCTTAGAGCATGGTAATATATTTAGTTGGTGTGCTGAGCGTCTGCAACATCCTTTCCTAACTTCTGTGCCCTCCAGATGTGACTTCAATTTCCAGAATACTCCAGGCCACATACTGTAACATTTTTAAGAATTATGTTATTTTCTTCTCTTTCTTCTTTTTTGTACTTTTAGTTTTTGTTTCTTTTCCTTTCTTGCTATATTAAAATAAAATAAACGGATTCAACCCATTAGGATCAGCAAAACTAACCTTCATTGGATTACATTGCTGGAAGAATAATAGCAGTCAGCCAATAATTCATTCCAGAATAGAAATTTTACTTGATTTAACTTTAAGTTCATTCAACTTCCTTCTCCCTTGGCTCAAGGGCACATTTGCATTCTCTGACACAGGAGGACATTCACATAAAGAATAGCCATGTCCTCCTAGTGTGCATCTAGGTCACAATGCTGACCTAGAAAAGGAAATTATTCCCTTCAGTTAGATATACATGATATTCTGCATGTGTGGTCCCTTCCTTTTACACATATGCTGCTATCTGATGGAATTTAGTAACTAAATTCAACTTCCGTGTGTATGCATTGGTAGTCATTATCACATGGAGTAATGTGCCATATATTTCCAATGCAAAAATTGTTCCTATATAAAGATTAATCACATTAGCTGATATGTCATTCATGCAATTACTGATTTTTAAAGAAGTCAATAGAGACATGCTAAATAGGACTGTTACTAACATGTAGGGATAAGAACAATTCTTTATTTCTGTTGTAACTATCATCTAGAAGGGCTAAGGGGACAGGACCAACTATTGTAAATGAAATAAAACATACATAGGAATATGAACAGTCTCAGGTGTTAAGAGTGAAAATTTGGCAGCTATATGCCTCTTTGTTTTCATCTTGCCATTAGAAAAAGGGGGGCAGAGAGATGATGCTTTCAACTGGGTTAGTTAGAGAAACAAAAGTTTGCTGAGAGAAAGCTGTCTGAAAACCCACCTGCTTTTTGAATTGCAGTCCATGACAATCCCCGGCAAGGTTGAGCATAGTCCTGTGCCCCCCAAAAGGCTGTTTACCTTTTATTTAGAATTTCTCTAAACCAGACCAAGAAAAAAATTTGCTAGTTATAACTCAGGAAGTTAATAAAAAGTATCGACTGAAATATAGCACTTGTTAAGTTGAATAATAAAATCGTTTTTTTCCACTTCTGGAGCAGCTGAAAAAAGTTGGTCTACTATGATACTTACATGTAATTTATGCAATTAATTCTATTTAATACATGTATACATGAATTCCCATTTATCTAAGAGTAAAAAATAAAACATGAGAAGCTTTCTTAAGAAAGCTCAGATACTATTAGTATAATGGCAGAAGTATAACTAATCATTACATAGTTCTACATTACATAAAATTATTGTACTTGGTTTATTTTGAATTGCTTGTAGATGATAAATCTTGCTCAATTTAACATTATATTGGAATTCATCTAAAAGAATAACACAAAATATGTCCAAGCCCTTTTTTCCCCTTTCTACTCCACTCTCCTAGCAGTGATAAAGGTAAAACTTATTTTCATACACCTATCTTGATCCAAATAGTCTATTCACTGCTGACCTCTAAAATACCCTTTCACTATGTTGGCAAGTAGCCCAGAAAGATTAGCTCTTAAGTCTGATTGCAATCTGGAGCCCATATGTAAGAAAAGCAGGAATTTTATCAAACTACAGAATACAAGTTATCTATAATAATAAATATCCTTTAAATAGCAATTCAAGCGACATAAAAAATCTGACTACCTTAACATTATAACTGACTAATCATTCTACTCAATATTCAGCGTAGAGCTCATATGAATCTATACTATTAAAGAGTTCTGTGCTAATAAGTATTATCTATGATTACATCATTAGTCTGAAAATACCAGTTTAATTTGCTGAGCAAATTAATGGTCTAATTTTCATTTCCAGCCAATGTCAGCTTATTTTTTGTCATGGTTACATCACTTGGTTATCAAATAGTTTTAGAATAATTATTGACACCAATATCAATATTTTTTTAATCTTTCTAGATTAAATATGATTGATTGATTGACTGACTGACTGACTTATAGTCAAAAATGGCATCAAGCCATTTTTCACTATAAGTAACCACAGATTTTCTCCATGACAATCCATTCAGATCTTCCATCACCATTTTAACTTAGTCCACCCATCTTGCTATTGGTCACTTTTCATGTCCAGTATTAGTTTTCCAGAGAAGGGACGTTGTCTTATCTGAACGCCTTTTCTCAGCATGGAGATGGAGAATCCACCAATGGGTTTTCTGTCTGCCTGCTCTTGAGACCAAGTTAGCCAAGCTTGACACGCCCCCTGTTGCTAGGGGATCCCAGTCTTGACGAGGGTGAAAGCGGCTGATGCTAGGACAAGGTGTTGGATCTCAAACCCCTAATACTGGCCTAACTGACCTTAAGGGTGGGTGTGGATTCTCCATCTCCGTGCTAGAAAAGGCATTCAGGTAAGACAACACCCCTTCTCCAGCACAGGAGATGGAGAATCCACCAATGGGACATACCAAAGCCTCATTGTCCCAATGGGTGGGAAACAGACGAGGCCGGCTCCACGTCCCCAGAAACCACCTGCTGAAGGACCCTCCTACCAAAAGAGGCATCCGCTGAAGCAAAGCAGTCAATTTTATAATGGTGTACAAACGGGGAGGAAGAAGACCATGTCACAGCCCTGCAAATCTCCTCGATGGACGCCTGAGTGGCCCATGCTGCAGAGGTCACAGCATGGAGTGACTTGGAGCTGGCAGTGAAGAAGACTGATACGCCTCCGCGATACAAGCCCTGATCCACCTACCTATGGTGGAAGCAGACACCTTCTGCCCCATAGAAGATGGGAGGAAGGAGACGAAGAGGGCCTCTGACCTGTGAAAAGACGCCGTGTGCTTGATGTTTCGTTGTAGCGTCCTACGGACATCTAGTTTGAAGGCTTTTTGAGGATGGCCTTTGCCTTGTCCTTGAGTTTGCCTGCTGCCTCCTGTTTGGAGGTTTTGCGATGGCTGTGACTTAAAGATGGGGAGGCGGTGCTCAAAGGGTGAGGTACCGTGGAATCCTCCATCCTGGTACGAGCTATCTCAGGAGTGCTAAGGGGGAGCTCTGGTAGGCAAGCAGTTGGCAGGAAGAGTAGTTGGAGCAGGGAATAGGCTGCTCCTCTGACGGAGGAGGCAAATCTGAGACTACGGTTACGGCTGTTGAAACTGGAGCCGAAGGCATGGTTGGCACCCGCTGTTGGGCTCCGCCTGGAGGCCTTAGGTGGCCAGGCAAGGTGCACCAGAGTATTCCAGTATGGATGCAGAGGACCAAGGATGAGAGTCTAATAACAGTGTCTGGGAAGGCTGGATTTGTTCTGGAGAACAAAATGGTGGCCTGATTGAATTACACTACAGGGTGTGGTTGTATGAGTGCTCTATGGCAAACCTGAGTCAGTGATCTATCCCCTGCACCTGTGTATGGCTGCACTCCTGCAAAGCATAAGGCCAACAGTGCCAGAGATAAAGAGGGCCTCCTTGAAATAAAGAAGAGGCTTGCAGGAGTTTTTAGGCCATGAGTCTGTTAATGAGTCAGCGATACTGTGTGGCCTAGAAGAAGGACCGCGAGATGCTTCCCAAAATGGCGGCTGCTGCAAGCTCCATAAATTATATCTAGAGGCTCAGGGCTCCATGGTGGAGCCAGAAGCCCTTGCCCCGAATGAGTTGCTTGGAGCAAAAAGGCAGAATCAGCTGTCCAAAGGGTCTCCAAGGAACAAAAAAAACCCAGCTCCATTTAAATTTTCGTACCTTTGGTGGCAACCAAAATGGCAGCTGCGACTTTGGGGCCATCAGAAACAGCCTCCGGGCTTTGGAGAGCAAATTAGAGCTATTGCAATGGCAGCGCTGTGTGCTGTACAGGGGAGCCTGACGAGGGATGATCGTTTGAGGGGAATTTCCCCAGAGCCCTGGGGAAGAGAACGGGGAAGCTGCAGCTGCCCCCCCCCCCTCAAGCCTCAAATCGGCCGATATGAGGCAGCGCTGATCCCAGCGTTCCAGGGAAGCCGGTTGTGAAAATACAAGGCAGGATCTACTGACCTGGTGAGGAATCTGATTGAGGCAAGTGAATGAGGTAAGGAGAATTCACCAATGGATCTCTAACCTGCTAAATATAATTTCTGGATCTCTGATTTCTGAGAACCAAACCTGATACGTCTTCAAGAGCTTGAGATCAAGTAAGACTGGGATACCCTAGCAACAGGGTGTGTGTCAAGCTTGGATAACTTGGTCTCAAGAGCAGGCAGACAGAGAAAACCCATTGGTGGATTCGCCATCTCCTGTGCTGGAGAACTAGGTGTCCACATAATATACCCACAGGATACTTTGAGCCAAGGTTGGTTTGATAGTTTGATGATTTGAGCCAATTACTCTAGGTTGATTTGTTTGGTGATCCATTAGCTTTGTTTTCTTGTCTGGTATTGGAGGCTTCTCCAATACCAAAGTTAAAAAGTGTCATTACTCTTCTTATCCTGCTTCTTAATAGAGTTGGAATGGACCTTGGAAGTCTTCTAGTCCAAGCACCTGCTTGAGCAGGAGACCTTATACCATTTCAGATAAATGATTGTCGAGCCTCTTTCTGAAATCCTTCAGTGATGGAGTACCCTCAACTGTTCTTCAACTTCTGAAGGCAAGCTCTTCGAAGTCCAACTTTTATTTCCATAGTATGTCACAGGAAATACTATGGCTTGCATGATTCTGATTGATATACAGACATTATGGCATTTGAATATCTTCTTCAAAGCATTCATGGCTGTTTTATCAAGTAGCAAATTTCTTAACTATCTGTTCCTTTACCACTGTTGGTTAATCAACTATCCACCACTTTTATATTTTTAATGATTCAATGTCAATGAATCACTAGCTGCAAATTAAACAAATGATAAAAAAATAAAAGAGCCGATGAATTTGGGTACCCTAGTAGAATGTTCAGTTTAAAGGGGGAAAATAGATTTTTTTTTTAAAGATGTACCAATGCTGGAAGAAAGATAGTACATGATCTGCTGTGAGGAATGTTATAGAAAAAGCTACCTAGGCAATTTTCTTTCTTTGCCTCACTTCAGCCCTATGGGAAAAAATGCTAGATAGACAAGTGAAGGATGAGTGTCCAAACTCTTATTGTTTGGTTTAACTGCTTGGATACAACATTCAATTATATATCTCATAAAATATCTCTTTATTTTTAGTAAAGAACCATAGTTCAATAATGAAGAAGGAAAAAGTTGGACATTCTTATGGACTCTACTGAAAACCCAAGAGAGAGAGAGATCAGATAATATGGTAGCCCTTCAGAGCTAGCTGATCACATGACCCTGGGACATTGCAACTGTCATAAATATGATCCAGTTGCCAAGCATCTGAATTTTGATCACGTGACCACAGCAATCATGCAATGGTCGTGTGAAAAATGGTAACTAAGCGAATGGTTATAAGTCAAGGACTATATATCTGGGATCCATAGAAGTTAAAACTATGAAAATCTGAATTCTTAATTGGTAATGATTTCAAAATACTGAAGACAATTATTATATTCAATGAAACCAAAACTAGACTTTAAAAGAAAAGAAATAATCTCATGAAAAACTTACAGTATTACAGATCTCCAAATTAAACTACACAGGCAACTCATCAGAAATAATAAAAGGTAAGAGAAAGAAAGAAAGAAAGAAAGAAAGAAAGAAAGAAAGAAAGAAAGAAAGAAAGAAAGAAAGAAAGAAAGAAAGAAAGACTGCAAGAAAATAAAAAATATAAGAATTCCCCTTTAAGAAGATGAATTCCCACACTCACTGTGGCAAGTATAAACAATTTCATAATCTCTTTACCTCATTTTAATTAATAAATTATAAACTTTTCATCCATAACTCATCTGTTATAATAGGCAAATCAAAGAATATCTTCTCCTTATCCAATTATAAGTAAAAGTCCAAACTATTTTATGTACCCCAATTTTTTAGCATCTAAATGATTTGTATCCAAATCTGGGAACTAGGCCATTTTTAAAGAGAAACTCTTTTTTATATATTAAACTTTAGTTTCTATTTATATTCAGATGCCATGATTATTTTATAAATGTGAATATTTTAGAGTTGAGATATGGAATGGGATAAATTGTTATTTGTAGCGGTTGTCTCTGAAATTGCTACCATTTGGAATGGAAGAAATGTGTATTTGTCTTTTAAAGGAGAAGTAGTCTCTGTCATATTAAACTTTACATTTTGTTTGTTAACAGTAGGAAATTGGAACCTTTTTATGCCTTTTAAAAGGGGCCTGGTTTAGAGCAGGCATGTCAAACTCGCAACATCACGTGACGTCATGTGATGTATCACAACATTTTCTCCATTGCCGGCAATGGGGTGGGCGCGGTTTCAGTATGATGCATCTGGCCCCCGGGCCGGCAGTTTGACATGCCTGGTTTAGAGCTAAGAATTCTGTGTGGACAATTGAGTTTTAGATGTTAATTAATGTTAATATTTTAGAGTTCTGTTTGGACTTTTACTGCTAATTAGATAAGATGTTATTTTTTTGATTTGCCTATTTATAAGAAATGAGTTATAGATGAAAAGTTTTATAATTTGTTAATTAAAAGGTGAAGGGATTATGAAATTGTTTATACTTGTCACAATGAGAGTGGGAATTCATTTTCTTAAAGGGAGATTTCTTTTTATATTTT